ATTTTGCTTTTATTTCTGTTTATTTGGTTGATTGCCCCAGGAGAATATTGCTGAGATTTATGTTAGATAATGTTTTGCCCGTATTTTCTTCTAGGAGGGTTATAAGTGTCTTGTTTTATGTTTCAGTCTTTAAGCCATTTTGAGTTTATTTTTGTGTATGGTGTGCAAGAGTATTCTAACTTCATTGACTTATATGCGGCTGTCCAGTTTTCCCAAAACCACTTGCTGAAGAGACTGTCTTTACTCCATTCTATGTTCTTGCCTCCTTTGTGAAAGATTAATTGACCAAAAGTTTGTGGGTTTATTTCTGGGCTCTCTATTGTGTTCCATTGATTCATATGTCCGTCTTTTTTTTTTTTAACCAATGTCATGCTGTTTTGATTACTGTAGTTCTGTAGTATTGTCTGAAATCTGGGAGTGTTACTCCTCCAGCTTCATTGTTTTTCTTCAGTAGTGTTTTGGCAATTCTGGGTCTTTTGTGATTCCATATAAATTTTAGGATTATTTGTTCTAATTCTGTGAAAAATGTCCTGGGTAATTTGATATGAGATCACATTAAATCTGTAGGTTGCTTTGGGTAGTATGGCCATTTTAACAGTATTAATTCTTTCAATCCAAGAACATGGGATATCTTTCCATTTCTTTAAGTCATCTTTAATTTCCTTAGCAAATGTTTCTAGTTATCTGCATATGTCTTTCACTTCCTTGGTCAGATTTATTCCTAAGTATTGTTTTTGATACAATTTTAAAAGAGATTGTTTCTTTACATTTCTTACCTGATATTTCATTGTTAGTGTAAAGAAATACCACTGGTTTCTGTATGTTAATCTTGTATCCTGCTACCTTGTTGAATTATTTTATTAGCGCTAATAGTTTTTGTGTGGAGCCTTTAGGGTTTTATATATATAGTATCATGTCATCTGCATATAATGACAATTTTACCTCTTCCAATTTGGGTCCCTTTTCTTTCTTTTTCTTGTCTAATTGGTATGGCTAGGACTTCCAATACTATGTTGAAATAGAAGTGGTGAGAGTGGACATTCTTGTCTTGTTTGAGATTTTAGCAGAAAGGCTTTCAGTTTCTCACTGTTGAGTATATTATGCTGGCTGTAGGTTTGTCATAATTAGGTTTTATTATGTTGAGATATGTTCTCTCTATACCCACTTTAGTAAGAGTTTTTATCATAAATGAGTATTGAATTTTATCCAATGCTTTTTCTGCATCTATTGAGATGATCATGTAATTTTTGGCCTTTCTCTTGTTGATGTGGTGTATCACGCTTATTGATTTGTGTATGTTGAACAATCCTTGTGTCCCTGGATGAATCCAACTTGATCATGGTGTATGATTTTCTTTATGTGTTGTTGGATTCTGTTTGCTAATATTTTGTTGAGGATTTTTGCATGTTCATCAATGGTAATTGGCCTATAGGTTTCTTTTTTGGTAGTGTCTTTGTCTGGCTTTGGTATCAGGGTGATGGTGGCTTCATAGAATGAGTTTGGGAGTATTCCCTCCTCTTCAGTCTTTTGGCAGAGTTTGAGAAAAACTGGTATGAGCTCTTCTTTGTATGTTTGATTGAATTCCCCAGTGAAGCCGTCTGGTCACTGGACTTTTGTTTCCAGGGAGGTTTTTTATTGCTGATTCTATTTTACTTCTAGTGATGGGTCTGTTGAAGTAATCCATTTCCCCTTGATTCAGTTTTGGTGGACTGTATGTTTCTAGAAACTTGTCCATTTCTTCTGAGTTGTCCAATTTATTGCCATACAGTTGTTCATAATATTCTTAGGAATTTTTGTATTTCTGTGGTGTTGGCTGTAATCTCTCCATTTTCACTTCTTATTTTATTTGTGTGCGCCTTTCTTCTTGGTGAGCCTGGCCAGAGATTTGTCAATTTTGTTTAGTCTTTGAAAAAATCAGCTCTTGGTTTGACTGATTTTTTTTCTGTTTTTTTTTTAATCTCTATTAAATATTTTACTCCATGACCTTTATTATTTTTTTCCTTCTGCTGACTTAGGGTTTTGTTTGCTCTTCTTTCTTCTAATTCTTTTAGGTGGTAGGTCTGGTTGTTTATTTGAGATTGCTCTTTTTTGAGGAAGGCCTGTATCACTATGAACTTCCTTCTTAGGACTGCTTTTGCTACATCCCATAGATTTTGTGTGGTTGTGTTTTCATTGTCATTTGTCTCCAGGTATTTTCTAATTTCTTCTTTGATTTCATCATTGATGATGTTTAGTCTCCATGCTGTCATCTTTTTCTCATCTGTTTTTCTGTGGTTGATTTCTAGTTTCATGCCATTGTGATCAGAGAAGATGCTTGGAATAATTTCTATCCTCTTAAATTTGTTGATGCTTCTTTTGTGCCTGAGTATGTGGTCTGTTCTATAGAATGTTCTATGAGCACCTGAAAAGAATGTATAGTCTGTTTTGGGGGGATGTAATATCCTAAAAATATCAAACGAGTCCAACTGTTCTATTGTGTCATTTAGTATGTCCATTGCCTTATTGATTTTCTGTCTGGAAGACCTGTCCAGTGATGTTAGTGGGGTCTTAATGTCTCCTATTATTGTATTCCCATCAATTTCTCCCTTTATGTCTATTAGGATTTATTTTATATATTTAGGTGCTCCTATATTGGGTGCACATGTTAACAAGTGTAATATCTTCATCTTGTATTGCTCCTTTGATTACTACATAGTGTCCTTCCTTATCTCTTTTGTTTTAAAGTATGCTTTACCTGATACGAGTTTTGCTACTCCTGCTTTCTTGTCATTTCCATTTGCTTAAATATCTTTTTCCATCCTCTCACTTTCAATCTATGTGTGTCCTTCACTCTAAAGTGGGTATCTTGTAGGCAGCATATTGTAGGTTTTTGTTTCATTATCCGATCTGCCCCTCTGTGTCTTTTGAATGGAGCATTTAGTCCATTGACATTTATAGTAATTATTGATAGATATGTGTTTATAGTCATTGTGAACTTTGTTTTCCAGTTGATTTTGTATTTCTTCTTTGTTCCTGTCTTTTTGTTTTTCTTTTTTTTTTTGTGGTTTGATATTTTTCTTTTGTATTAGCTTGGTTTCTTTTTGGTTTTTGTGATTTTATTGTATGCTTTTGATTTGTGGTTATCCTGTTTTTCAAGTATGCTAACCCCTTACTATATCTGTTTCCTTTAGACTGTTAGCCATGTGGGCTCAAACACATCTTAAAAAGAATGAAGGAAAAAAGGTGGGGGAAGAGAGAAAAAAAATCTGTATTTTCTTGCTCCCCTCGCCCACCCTTTATGATCTTGATATTATTTTTCTTTATTTTTTAATATTCATGTTTATTCTCTTGCAATTTACTGTAGTTATTGTATTTCCAATTATGATTTTCTCATTTCAATAGCTTCCTGTTTCTTTTCTATTTAGAGTAGACCTTCCAATATTTCTTTTAGCATAGGTTTAGTATTGCTGAATGCTTTTAGTTTTTGCTTGTCTGTCTGTGAAGTTATTTATCTCTTTTTCTACTCTACAGGATAGTCTTACCAGATAGAATATTCTAGGTTGCAGGTTTTTCTCATTCAGGACTTTGAACATTATCTTGTCACTCCCTTCTAGCCAGCAGTGTTTGTGTAGAGACATCAGCTGAAAGCCTTATGGGGCTTCCCTTGTAATTAACTCTTTGTTTTATCTCTTGCTGCCTTTACAATCCTTTTTTTAACGTTAGCCATCTTAATTATAATATGTCTTGGTGTAGGTCTGTTTGGGTTCTTTCCTTCTTTAGGTTTGAAAAGTTTTCTGTCATGATTTCTTCAAATACCTTTTCAATCCTCTTTTCTCTTTCTTCTCCTTCTGGGATTCCTATTTTGCATAGGTTGGCATGCTTTGTATTATCCCATAGGTCCATTATATCGCTTTAATTGGTTTTTATTTGCTTTTCTGTCTGCTATTCTGAATGGGTAACTTCTGTTATCCTGTCTTCTAAGTCACTTATTTGTTCCTCTGCATTATCCAGTCTGCTTTTGACTGCCTTTATCTCGGCTCTTATCTCAGCAATTGAGTTTTCTGTTTTTAATTGGCTCTTCTGTGTAGTTTCAATTTCCTTTTTAAAGTATTCTGTCTCTATTCATAGTCTCTTTTAGTTCCTTCATTGCATTGATCATTCCCTTCTTGAAGTCACGATCTAGTAGACTATCAAGGTCTATTTCATTAATCATTCTTTCAGAGGATTTCTCTTGTTCTTTTAATTCGGAGTAGTTCCTCTGTTCGTTTTACTTTCATCTCTCTGGATTTAGGAGTATCAGTTATCTACTTTGTTCTTGAAGTGCTGTTTTACTTTTTGTTTTTATTTAAAATGGGAGAGATCCTGTGTAGATTGTGGGCATCTAATAGTTTTGTTGCAACGGCTGTTCTTAGTATGGATGGTTGCCACGTCGTCTCTGAGAGTTGGCTGTTATCCCTTTGATTGGGGGGTGTGGTTGGTGTAGTGTTCAGAGCCTGCCTTGATCGTTGTTGAGCCAGGCCTCTTTTTTTGTTCTGTAGTTGTCACAGCCTTGACAAAGGCCTGGTCTGCTCCCTTGTTGCTGGAATAGAGGCTTCTAGACCCATTTCTGAGCTGTGATGTGTAGTAGGCAGTGTTGGACTGCTTCAGCTGGGAAGAAGTGTAGGCAGGAAATGTCCACTGAGAAGTGCCCTCTGTGGTGGTGTCTATCACCTGTTATGCGGACTTACAAAATACCCTTTGTTAACACTGCCTTTGTCCCCACCTTAGCTGTCGAAATGTTGGCCACCTGTTCTGATACCCCAAGGTTCTGAGCCCCAGGAACCACCAGTGCAGATCCACCAGTGTCAGGTGCTAGGACCTGCCATAGCAAGTGTGCAGTCACACACTTGAATCTGTAGTGTGCCACAGTTTGGTGCAGACCCCAGCCCCACATCCACATATAGTATGGTACACTGGCTTGTTGTAAACACCCATACTTGCCCCCTTCATGAGTCAGAACTCTGCTCACTGCCTGTTAGTCCTAGAGGCACAGGTCCACAAAGGTTCCAGAGAGCAAATCCACCCTCTCTGCCTGGTCTATAAACAAATCTCAGTCCCTCCCTTGAAGTTGCATGGCCACAGGGTATAAATTCAGTCTTCAGCCCTGCCTCCTCACAGCAGTGATGGCTATGACCGAGTCCCACTTCTCTTGTAGGGAGAATACACCAACAATGGAGCCAAGTGCGTCTGCACTGAGCCCCTCTCCCACACACACACACCCCAACAGTGTTTTTTTTATGGGGATCTGAGGCTGTCCTGCCCACATCCCCAGCTAGAACTCACACTGCCCTCCAATCCCCTGAGACTGTCTCTGTGTGGTGGGCAGTGGTTATTGCTTTCTCCTCTGAGCCTTGGAAGCTCCACTTCTGTCCTCACTGACCTCCCTAGATGGGGGCTGGAGAGGGAGTGTTCCATGTGAGGGTACTTTTCTTCCTATGCAGCTCCCTCCCTGCAGGACCAGTCCTACACCAATTTTTTCTTTCCCCATTTTTTTCTTATCAGATTTTGTGAGAATCCTCCTGTATTTCAAAATGAGAGACACTCTACCAGAGTTCATTAAGTGTCCCATGTGACTCAGTGGGTTTGTAGATGTAATTCTTGGTGTATTTGTGGAAGAGGGCGAGCTGTGAGTCTCTCTACTCTGCCCCCTCTACAGTCTTTCTTAGTAACTTAGAAGGACCCATAGTAGATCAAAATAGAAAATCTGAGAGGTTTTCAGCACAACACTTAGAATAATTTTCAATTACATGTAGCAATGTACTTGAAAGGATTTATGCTCATACAGTATTTGTCTTTCTCTAACTTAAATTATCTGTTAACTCCATTCATCTGTTGATGGACATTTAGGTTACTTTGATAGTTTAGCAATTGTAAATAATGCTGCTATGAATATTGGAGTGCATGTATCGTTTCAAATTAGTGTCTTTTGTTTGTTTAAGATATATACCCAGGAGTAGAACTGCTGGGTTGTTTGTTATTTCTATTTTTACATCCTGAGAAATTTCCCTATTATTTTCCACAGTGGCTGCACTAATTTACATTTTCACCAATAGTGTACAAGGATTCCCTTTGCTATACATTCTCACCAACATTTGTTATTTGTATTCTTTTTGATGATAGCCATTCTGACAGGTTCCTGAGAGGTAATACCTCATTGTGGTTTTGATTTGCATTTCCCTGAAAATAGCTATATTGAACATTTTTAAGTTTAATGAGGTCCCATTTACTTTTGCTTTTATTTCCCTTGCTTTAGGAGACAGATCCCCCCTCCTCCCAAAAAAGCTATAATTTATATCAAAGAGTGTTCTGCCTATGTTTTCCTCTAGGAGTTTTATGGTTTCTGGTCTTACATTTTGGTCATTAACCCCTTTAGAGTTTATCTTTGTATATGATGTTAGAGAATGTTCTAATTTCATTCTTTTACATGTAGCTGTCCAGTTTTCCTACCACCACTTATTGAAGAGACTTTTTCCCCAATGTATATTCTTGCCTCCTTTGTTGTAGATTAATTGACCATAAGTGTGTGGATTTATTTCTGGGTGCTCTATCCTGTTCCATTGATCTATGTGTCTGTTTTTGTGCCAGGACCATAGTGTCTTGATTACTGTAGCTTTTTAGTGTAGTCTGAAGTTAGGAAGCATGATTCCTCCAGCTCTATTCTTCTTTCTCAAGATTGTTTCGGCTATTCAGGGTCTTTTGTGTTTTCATACAAGTTTAAAATTTTTGTTCTAGCTCTGTGAAAAATGCCCTTGGCATTTTGATAAAGATTACATTGAATTTGTACATTACTTTGGGTAGTACAGTCATTTTAACAATATTAGTTCTTACAATCCAAGAATATGGTATATCTTTTCACCTGTTTGTGTCATCTTCAATTTCTTTCATCCATGTTTTATAGGTTTTTTACTTCCTTAGGTAGTTTTATTCCTAGGTATTGTATTTTTTTATGCAATGGTATATGGGATTGTTTTTAATTTCTGTTTCTGATAGTCCATTGTTAGTGTAACAAATTTCTGTATATTAATTTTATATCCTGTGACCTTACCAAATTTATTGATAAGCTCTAGTAGTTTTCTGGTAGTGTCTTTAGGATTTTCTATGTATACTATCATGTCGTCTGCAAACAGTGACAGTTTTACTTCTTCCTTTTCAATTTGGATTTATTTACTTTTTTCTGATTGCTCTAGGACTTCCAATAGTGTATTAAAAAAAAGTGGCAAGAATTGGCATCCTTGTCTTGTTCCCAGTATTAGAGAAATGCTTTCAGCTTTTCACAGTTCAGTATTATGTTTGCTGTGGCTTTCTCATATATGGCCTTTATTATGTTATCCCTCTATGCTCACTTTCTGGAGATTTTTATCATAAATGGATGTTGAATCTGGCAGCAGCAGCTTTTTCTTCAACTACGGGTTTTTATTCTACAATTTCTAATGTAGTGCATCACAGTGGTATTTGAAATACTGAAAAAATTATTGCATCCCTGGGATAAATTTTACTTGATCATGGCATATGATCCTTTTAATGTGTTGTTGGAGTCTGGTAGTATTTTGTTGAGGACTTTTGCATCTGTGTTCACCAGTGATATTGGCCTACAGAGTGAGTGAGTGAGTGAGTGTGTGTGTGTGTGGTGGGGGGTGGTTGAGGGGTGGGGGATATCTTTGTCTGTGTTTGGCATCCAGATGATGCTGGATTGTGGAATGGTTTTAGAAGGATTCCTTCCTCTGCAATTTGGAATAGTTTGAGAAGAACAGGTATTAACTCTTCTTTAAATGATAGGTAAAATTCGCCTGTGAAGCCATCTGGTCCTAGACTTTGCTGGCAGATTTTAAATTTCAATTTCGTTACTAGTTGTTTCTCTGTTCATATCTTAAATTTCAATTTCATTACTTGTAGTTTGTTCTTATCTTCTATTTCTTCCTGATTCAGTCTTGGGAGATTTGTACCTTTCTAAGAATTTGCCCATTTATTCTAGGTTGTCCATTTTATTGGCATAGAGTTGTTCATAGTAGTCTCATGATCCTTTGTATTTCTGTGGTGTTGGTTGTAACTCTTCCTTTTTTGGGGCCCTGTCCTTTTTTTTTCCTGAGTCTGACTAAAAGTTTATCAATTTTGCTTATCTTTTTAAAGAATCATATTTTAGTTTTATTCATCTTTTCTATTGTTTTTTAGTCTCTATTTCATTTATTTATGCTCTGAGCTTTATGATTTATTTTCATCTATTAATTTTGGGTTTGTTTCTTTCTCTAGTTCCTTTAGCTGTAAGTTTCTTTCTCTAATTCCTTTAGGTGTGAGGTTAGGTTGTTGGTAATATTTTTCTTCCCTGAGGTAAGCTTATATCACTATAAACTTATCTCTTAGAACTGTGTGTGCTGCATTCCAGAGGTTTTAGATCATTGTCTCTTCATTTTCCTTTGTCTCCAGGTATTTTTTGATTTCCTCTATTATTCAGAGATCCATTGGTTATTTAGTCGCATGTTGTTTAGCTTCCTGTTGTTTTTTTGTTTGTTTTGTAATTTTTTTCTTATAGTTGAGTTCTAGTCTCATACCATTGTGTTCAGAATAAATGCTTATTTGCTATGATTTCAGTGTTCTTAAGTTTACCAAGGCTTGTTTTGTGGCCTAGTATATATCATCTATTCTGGAGAATATTCCATGTGCACTTGAAAAGAATGTATATAT